AATATTATTATCTTGTTCCATGGCATATACTCAAATTTAAGTGAGAATATCCAAATGTTATGTACCTCTGAGATCGAGTAAGTTTTCTTTTGTAACCTTTGTTGACATTTACAACTTCAGGAATATTATTGTTGTCTGTTGATTGTTCACCAATCGTATTCTTATCCAACATATTCTTTCTAAGGTTGGCGATATAACTTTGTTTGTCTGGAACATGTGTTTCCAATTCATGTAATTCATTCTCATTATCTATTATTCGGCAATTTGTCTGAAGAGGGCAGACTTTTGGCAAGTCAACCAATTCTTTAACATTTTCTAGAGTAATCCACGTGAGTATCTTTTTAAATATCACGGCTTCACATTCTTTATGAAGGGCACGCACTAAAACACCATACAAAGTAACATCAACATTTTGTTTGATTATTGATAAAAATACATTTCTAATAGTGCTATCATCTTTTATTTTCTCTATCAAACTTGGCCCATCATTACTTTTTGCAGTACTTTCAGTTTTATTATCTTCATTGTTATTCTGCATTTCTTCACATATGTTCTTAATATCACTGATATCTTCCATAATCAATGAACTATTATGTCGACAAGTTGACTGAAAATGCTTTATTATGAGCCTTAGATTCTCTGACGAATCAGGTATTTGAGAAGATTGATCTGGTGAATCAAAGAACAGGAACAATTTCTGTAATTCTGTTAAATTTGTTTCTGATTGCCAAGATTTCAGTTCATCTTTAACATTAAACACTAGTGGAATAGCATCATCAAGTTCTTCACCATCAGTGTATTGAAATTTTGAATTGTTGAGTTTAGATTTGGAAGGATTATCAGCTTGAGAGTTTGAAGAGTGATCTATTAAAATTACAAATTTAATTTTATTTGAAAATTTTTTTTTTCTGATTTTAACTCTAAGCTATCCAAAAATGAAAGTCTTGTTATACAATAATCGAGGGTAGGTACAGAATAATTTGAATATTCAATCCAAATTACACACTGCGAAATTTTAAAAAATAAATCTGGGATAAAAGATTTTCCAGCAGTATTCACAACATTATTTGGTAAGAATCGGAATTCGGAAGAATCGGAAGAATTTAGTGAGTTATTCTTTATTAACAGAGAGGCCAGATATAAACAAAAAGACTCCTCTGTAAATAATAATTTGAACTCTGCATCACTCATACGCATGACCATAGCAAAAATAAAACTTGACAAGTTTTAACTTTTCACAAATTTTCACAAGTATTCAATCGATTAGAGTTTTGATCCAAAAACAGTATTTCAGTCGCTGCCTTAACGATGTTTTTATAACCACTTTTTCATTAATGATTATTCACTATTTGAAATTAGCCCAGCAAAACTTCAAGTTTAAGTTGAAATGGAGAAAATTTAAGCTTGAGGCCTTGCTCTGTAACCGCTCGTATCGAGATACGAAAACAAAGTATCGGGTAAGGTTACTATCATCGTAACGCTGCAACAAGATGAGATTTTAGGTGCAAATCAATGATTGACCAATAATGCAGTGCCAGCAGTCGCTAGAACCCGATGCACAGTGTCAGGAATCGGCTAAAAAGTGGCCGAAATTCTTGCTTTGCTCGAATTTCGTCGCTAAAATAAAATAAAAATCATTTTCAGTAAACTTAGGACAATATCAAAGTAGTGATGTAGCGGTTTAGGATATAACGCATCCTACTGAAAAATTCATCGTAATTATCGAAATTATTGAATTTTTCAGAATATTTGGGTATATAAAAACGGCTGTAGCTTCGTTTAGAATGTACGTAGGATAATTTTAGTTACACGAATTTCAAGGTCTTGTGAAAACCTACAATTCTATAGGCTTAGAATACTTTTACAACCCTTCTAACTCTACTGGCAAGATAAATAGCCGAGTCCACAAAATCCAATACTTTTTAATTCAAATTCAGTGGCAATTTCTTCGTCACAACAAATAAAAATGCGAAGGATACTTTTTTACGGAAAAAGAACCATTAGTACGCAATTAAAGGTGAATATGTTATTTCGTATTTGGAAAATACTACATCTTATACATGTAAGTAAAGCTTTTTCAATAAAAAACTATATGCCACAAATCCTGATGTACAAAAATTGAGATTATGTCGAGAAGATTTTCACAAGATCAGATAATCTTGTCAACGTGAATGTGTTTATTATTGGAGCGAAGTGCATTATTTATCATGAATAAACTTCCATGTAAGGTACATTCTATTAAATCGAAAAAAATGAATTTTGACTGTATCATTTTTAATTAAATTCTAAATAAAACATTGGCAGTTTTAGACATTCAATTGTAATTCATCGTTATTTCATTCGTACATTTGTTTTTATTTAATAAAGAATATTAATCATGAATGAACAACTTTAATAATAAGTATATCAATAGATCTTTCAACTATTTTTTTAAAAATATTTTTATGTATATTTCGAAAATTTCTGTAATCTGTTTACTTTAAATTATATCATGTAACTTATCATGATAATTGAAATATTACTAAAACAACTTTTATTCAATTTCTTATAAATTATAGTCATCAATTTAATCTCAGTAGTAAAAAACACCATCCATTTTTGCGACACATTACAAAAAAACATAATAAATAAAAAATTGGTTGATTAAAAAAAATAGATAATATACCTATGTACAGCTGTATATTGTCTTTCAATGCTATATGTATACTTTTTGACCTATGGAGATGTAAACAGTGCACTGCAGTGCGAGCAAAGCAACGAGAATTACGGTATGCCGATTTTTCTCAGAAATTCACATGTGTTCACGCACACATAGTAACTCATAGAGTTGTAACACTAACTCTAGATTCTTATTAGATGCTACCTACAAAACGTAAACACATTTTTTGTATGTTCTTTTATCTATGAAAAATGGAAAATTTTCTGGACTGACAACTCATTTTCGTTCAGGACACGAACTGAGCAACATCGTTTATTATCTTAGTCGTATTATTATATTTTAAACGATCGAAGCCATGGTTGAATTTTCGTTAAAAAAACGTGAAATGTGTTTAATCTTAAAAGATTCCATGGCACTAACTGCAGACGCTCAAAATACAATTTTGCTCGAAAAATTGATAGAGATGTTTTTCGAGGGGAACGAATGTGATAGTGTGAAAAAAGCCTTACGTGATAAATTAAGACAAAGTTTTATCAATTATTTTCGAGTAAAAGTCAGAAATATGCGAGAAACAAAAAACTTTGAAAATTTTTGTTCAAAATACGAACAGTGGGTTGAAAGTGAATTTGATTTTAAATGTGACGAAGAAAATTTAAACAGTGAAGCCATGCAATTGGATTTAAGTAAGTAGTCAATTTATTACAATTATCAAGTCTTATAAGTGTGGTGCAATTAAAAATCGATTTTATTCTTAAACCCAAAATCTTACCTGCTAAAAATTAGCAGTTAACTGCACAAAAAAAAGACAATCATTGTATTGAAATTTTATTACATTTAGAACAGAGTATACTTAGTTTTTAATGCCTTTTTAGGACGTTTTCTTAATGAACTTAATATTTTTAATCAATTATATAATATAAATAGTATGTCTGAACGTAATATAATGATAAGAAATTCATTTTATAGTTGATACAAAGAATACTGTTGGGCGTCCGAAAAAACCATTTCGTGAATGCGCAAAGCGAACTCAGAGAACTAAAACAAACGCGTTAAATTCATCGTTAAGCTGGGAGGAAGTATGTGAAGTAGGAAAAAAAAATGAAGATGGACCACAATTTAGCAGGATGTAAATTGATGGACATAATATCTGATAAAGATAAAGCCAATCAATTACTAAGTAACTTCAATCAAACGAAAGCTGCATGCATGTCATCCGAGGAAGCTTTAGCTTTAATGATCGAAGGCAACTTATCAGTAAAAGTTTATCGTGACATATGGATTTCCCGTACTCCACGCCCATATAAGGTTTATGGAATTAGTTCTACATGTGTCATATAAATTGGACCTGAAAAAGAAAAAGTATAAGGTGAGTAATCAACCATTGAATTTTGTGTATGGACTTGTACTGAATCCTGATTTCTACTGATTTAAAATTAAAATTTTCGTCCCAAATTTAAAAGAAATGCAATAAAAAAAGAAGATATGTTACAAAGTTAAACCGGAATAAATAGTCCCTTGAAAGTAATGTCTGCTTAAGAGCGAGAAAAAATCAAGTTGCTCAAATTTAGATTATTTCCGATGAAATAGGCAAGTTTGTGATTTTAAAAAATCAAAATTAATCAATAATGTGAAAAATAATTATTTCTCAATGCTTTGTATTATTTTTCTAAGGCTACACAGGATGATAAACCAGCAATTAAGGAGAAAAAAAAATTTATTCAAAGAGAACTCAAAGAAGAGCTTGGATTAATTATTGATACACCAACATCTAACTTTGGAAACGCCAATGATGAAAATACCGCGAGGAGATTTTTTTCCAACATCGATGTTGTTTCACGTGTCACTAGTAATATTAAAAAACTTGAGCTAAAATGTATCGATATGTTTGATAATTGTAATGCTTTATGTTTATATTTAAGCTTCGACAAACCACTCCTCGTGCGATTTTATACGATTCTTCGAGTAATTTCAAGTTCGTATAGTATAAATACAGAAGAGTTCAAAAATTATTGTCATGAAACAGCAACAATGTTTAGAAAAACATATAAATGGTATTACATGTGCACTGCCATGCACGTAATACTCATTCATGGACATGAAATTCTTGAACAATTGCCATTACCTATTGGGTTTTTTTCAGAAGAAGCTCAAGAAAGTAATAATAAAAATGTTAAGAAAAGTCGTGAATTTCATTCAAGAAAAACTTCAAGGTATGCGTTACATTTTTTATGCTAACATTGTAGTATTTTATGTATGTTATGTGAAAATATTTATTTTATGTATGTTGTAATATGAAAATTGTTGGCAAAGCAGTTTCACCGCTCAAATGGTTTCTTATTGGTCAAGTAATTTTTAATTCTAATATAATTTTAAAAAATTGAATTTTTAATCAGTATTGATTTATACTTAAACCAGCAAATAAGGTATAGCAATTAATAAATCTTCCAAAAATGCAAATACTGCACCTAACAAAATATTGAAAATTAGCAACTATATAATATGTATCATGTAAAAAAAAATCAATTGAAGAATTAGATAAAATAATTTCTGTTAATCCACCAATAGTAAATGAAAAAATAAATCCTAATAATCATAAATTAATTACAGAAAATTAAATTTTTATACTATTTATAGTCGCTAATCACCTAAAAATTTTAATACTACTTGGTACAGCAATAATTATTGTTGCTGAAGTAAAATAAGCACGAGTATCTACATCAATCCCAACAGTAAATATTTGAAGAGCTCGAACAATAAAACCTAATAAACCGATAGAACTTATTCCTATTCGTCTAAAAGTTTCTTTTTTTTCATTACAAATTATATGAGAAATTAAACCAAACCCAGGTAAAATGAAAATCTAAGCTAAAAATAACATGAGAAAATTCTAATAAAAAAATAACTCAGAAATTATGAATAAAATTATTCCTAATTTAATCCCTTTCAAAACTTTATTTGTATGGAAACCTTGGCAAGTTCTTTCACGAATGACATCTCGTCATCATTGATATAAACATATACAAAAATATGAGATAGGAAGAAATTTAAGTTATCAATAAATTACTTGCAATTATATTTGTTGATAAACAAACTGCTAATGTTCCGCAGAACGAATTTAATTTCTAATAATTTCACTTAATACTATAAAAATTATCAATGCAGTTGGTTTAAGTTGTATAAATATGTGATTAGTATTAATTAATCAACCGTACAATATAAAAAATAACCATAAAATCAAAGAAGATAGACACGTATAGAAGCACAGAACTATAGGCGCGATTGAGGCTGGCTCATATGGTACCAAAACCAACTTCAAGGGGGCGCGGCGAGCAACCTAAGCCTGTAATGTATAACCAACATTTAGTCCCTTAGTTACCAAAGTCTTCGTGGTCGAGTGGTCAAGCGCTCGGCTTCGTCTTTTGCGTCGAGCGGTCGGGCCTTGGTTCAATCCCAGGCCGCAGATATTTTTTTTTACATTTTTTTCTCAAATTACAAAGAATAAAGTAAGGATTTCGTTTTTAGCTCATATTGGTCGTAAAATTAAAATTGCATTGATAATCGAACGTTTTTTTTCATGTTCTTTTTTCTACAAAAAAATAAAAAATCACATTTAATTCAAACGCAAATTAAATTAAATTAATGTATATTTAGACGCCTCGAAAAAAAATTTCGTGTCAATTTCGTTAAATGAAGTTTCTTTTTTATGAAAATATCTCGGACTCCAATTTTAAATGGACCGTATCGCTTGATTATTATTTTTCACATTTAAAAAAAACCCTTAATAAATAAATTTATCAGAGTATTTTTAATTTTATAAGCAATATTAGCTAGAAGCGAAATCCTTACTTTATTCTTTGTAATTTGAGAAAAAAATGTAAAAAAAAATATCTGCGGCCAGGGATTGAACCAAGGCCCGACCGCTCGACGCAAAAGACGAAGCCGAGCGCTTGACCACTCGACCACGAAGACTTTGGTAACTAAGAGACTAAATGTTGGTTATACATTACAGGCTTAGGTTGCTCGCCGCGCCCCCTTGAAGTTGGTTTTGGTATCATATGAGCCAGCCTCAATTTTTAGTTAAGCTCTGGGCTCCTATACGTGTCTATCTTCTTTGATAAAATCAATGATAAAGTCAAACTAAAAGTTAAGTGAGAAGAAGAAGTAAAAATATAAGAAAATATTCATAAAAAAGTATTTAATGTAATAAAAATAAATATTCTTATTATAAATAATAATTTTATTTAATTTGTTTAAATTTTTAATAGTATTCTAAATTCTCCAATCAAATAATTTAATGAAAGTGAAAAAAATCTATAACGTGGAGGAATAAATTAATATAATCTGGAAATAAATAAAATAAAAATTATAAATAAATGATAGTGTTCTGCAACATTTTTTATTACTTTTTTATTTTCAATTTGAAATTATTACTCATATACGATCTAAATAGTGATATCATCAAAACGCGATTAAATTAACGCTAACATATTTTTTTATTCGTAAGGTGTGATACAAATTCTGATGTTTTTCATCGTTTGCTGACCGCTTCAGATCCTCTTGTTACGCTAACACGAAAATTTCCGGAAAGAAAAGAAAAAAATATCACTGAAGACATGAGAAAATTATTAATTATTGATGAAGATGATAGCGATAATGATTTTGAAAATGTCCCAGACGAATCCGAAAAAGAATCAGAAGAAGAATTAGAAGAAGAATTAGAAGAAGAATTAGAAGAAGAATTAGAAGATTTCGAAGAAGAATCTGAAGAAGAATTTGAAGATGACGAAGACGAAATTATTTTATCTAGCAGTAGTGAGTCCGAAATAGAAATTGATGAAATGGAAATGGATGACGAATGAAATGTAATCCTAAATATTTTCTGTAAAAAGTATATTTTTTGTTTATAAGAAGTATATATTTTTGATTTTTGTTTTTTGTTTATGAAAATTTATTTTTGTGTTAATTCTATCTGTGATCGAGTCAAAATGTCATTTTTTAGTTTTTATTTGAAAAAGCTTTACTTACATGTATAAGATGTAGTATTTTCCAAATACGAAATAACATATTCATCCTTAATTGCGTACTAATGGTTTTTTTTTCCGTAAAAAAGTATACTTCGCATTTTTATTTGTTGTGACGAAGAAATTGACACTGAATGTTAATTGAAAGGTATTGGACTCGGCTATTTATCTTGCCAGTTGATTTAAAAGGGTTGTAAAAGTATTCTAAGCCTATAGAATTGTAGGTTTTCACAAGACCTTGAAATTCGTGTAACTAAAATTATCCTACGTGCATTCTAAACGAAGCTACAGCCGTTTTTATATACCGAAATATTCTGAAAAATTCAATAATTTCGATAATTACGATGAATTTTTCAGTAGGATGCGTTATATCCTAAACCGCTACATCACTACTTTGATATTGTCCTAAGTTTACTGAAAATGATTTTTATTTTATTTTAGCGACGAAATTCGAGCAAAGCAAGAATTTCGGCCACTTTTTAGCCGATTCCTGACACTGTGCGATGTTATTATTAACACTACTAATAATTAGCCCAGAAAAACTTGGAGCTTAAGATTTGCTGGGAACTAATATACTTTAATTGCAATAGCGTTTTATTGCGAAGCTTGAGCCAACGCTTTAAGTCCGCCAAGACTTAGTCACAAAGTGAAGGATCTCTCCTCAGCCTTGCGAATTTTTCTTTTTTTTGTTTAGCTTTGTGAGCGCATACAGCGCCTCCTAATTGTCACTATATCAAAGATTTGCGTGTAATTACACGATTCTGACTCGTTAAATACGAAGTTCTGGACGTAACGCGAAGAAATTCGAGTTCAGCGCTTATCTGTACATGTAATTCGCGTTTTGTCCTGAACGGTGACATGAAATAATACACCTTCGCAGCGGCGTCGAGACTTTTTGGGTATTATCCATCGGCAGCGGTAAAGTCGTCACGGCATTTTTGGAAATTCATATTTGACGAGTCAGAATCATGTACTAAAATAAAAATTTTACAGATTTATGATACAGCTTTTAATATATCACGGGTTTATCATTACAGCATGAAATGATACAGCCACCAATGAATAATACACAAACTCATCACCGTTCGTGAAAAAATGCGAACATTAATTAATTCGACTCAACCCGAGTTTGAGAGAGAGAGTTTGAGAGTTGACTGAAACATAAAATAATAAAATTCCTTTTTTATTATTATAAAAAGTCAATAATGTAACATTTTTTATTTAGACGTATTAATACATTTATGAGCATACACGAGATCATTATTTTTAGCAGCGTTGTGCATCGATAAACAAAGTAATAGAACAATATTGTTTTTCATACATATACAAATTAGATTTCATGTAAGCTCATTAATGTATTAGTATGTCTTAATGAAAAATGTTACATTGACGTTTTATAACGATTTTATTATTTTATATCCCAGGCAATATTATTTTTATAACAATTAATTCTTTCTTGCTTATTTACAGCTGAATGTAATATGTAGAATTTGCACGAGTTATATTTTTTTCAAATTGCTGGGTTGGATGCTGAGTGCATGTCGATAAGTAGAGCGAGCGGTTTGCTGCGGCGAGGGAGCTGTCTGCTATGGCAGACATATTGAATTTAATTTTTCACAACGCTGGTTAGGAAGCGCCCAAGTATCCTAAACAAAAACAGTGATTAATGTTTATATACATTATCTTCCATTCAGTTCAACTGCTAATAGTTAACTGAATGAGAAAACTACGTATAATTTATACATTCATTTTATCTGTTTCCATTTTCGATTGTGCATCACGCAAGTGTGGTTCGATAATTGCAAGGCTAAAATCAATACAGTAACAGTCCTGGCTAACGCCTCGCTAAATACACTAAAATTAAATGAGTGACTAGTACAGGAGTCCCTCGTTATACGCGGGTTTATTATCCACGGAATTCGTTATCCGCGGTTAGTCGATTTGCGCCCATCCCTTCGTATCCGCGGGTCGAGTCTTGTTATCCGCTGATCGAAGATCGTGATTTTTTTCTCGGACGTATCCATATTCAGTTTGAATTTGGTTAGTGTAGACGCGTAAATCGAAATTGTCAATTAACCTAAATTTGTTGAAAATTTATAAATTTATTTAAGTATGGCTTCATCTAAAACTCCGTCGAAAACTGCCTCAAAAACCACTGGCAGATCAGACTGATGATGCACCTGAACCGATTTTTGATTCAAAACTGATTGTCGAAGTTATGGTTCTAGTTATTGGAGCAGGTGAATTAGCAATGACTGGTGATCCAATAATGACGCGTAGCTCGACTTTCAAACACTACTATGATTTAGCTGCACAAATTTATGAAGAAATGCATAAAGATATTTTGAGACGAGCAAAACAGAAAAAAATTAACCGATTACTTTAAAAATTAAACATAGAATTGCATATATGTGTTGTAAATATAAATAAACATGTATAAATAGATAAACTACTCAACAAATTCGTTTATTTGTAGGTAAAATGTACATATAAACTGTGCTTTCTCGAGGTTGAGGAACGTAACCCTCTCTTTTCCATAAGAGCAAGGTCTTATTATCCGCGGTTTTGTTATACGCGGTACTTTTGAGGAACGTAACCCCCGCGTATAACGAGGGACTCCTGTATATACTTTGTTCAGTAATACTAGTCTCATAACGCAAGTGTAGTTTGATAATTGCAAGGCTAAAATCTATATTCTGGTAATGTTTCAGTAATTTAAGCAGTACCTGTTCACTAAGCATGACGGAAAAAACATACATGCAGCCTAGTTTTGTTAAAAAAAAAAAAATTTTCTTTAAACTTATGACATTTATGTCACAAAATCCTATTATGGATCAAATTAACCTTGATAGATTTGCGATAGGAATCAGAAAGGACATCACAAAAGATCTGTGGAAACGTCGTTCTGAAAAGTACATAAATTGGTTAAACCTCATTCCAGTGCAAACAGTTATGCAACGGAAACTAAGAGAG